CTTTTCTAATCAATGACAAGGCACGATGAAATATATGTTACTATCTCTGCACCAGGGCTGCCGACAAAGTCTGCACGCCGCTTGCCAAGCCCCAAATGCAAGGTGTGGGCACAGACCCACCCACCCTCAGCTCAGAGCCTGCGCCCCTCCCCCAGCGTGAGCAGCTTACAAGTCTCAGAGATTCGCAGCGCACACTAATCATCCGAATCTCAGGTGCATCCAATTTGTTATTCACACTCTCCCATGCCAGTGAAAAGCCTGGCGCCGACAGATGCACCAGGAACCCTAAATGACAGTTTTGGCCTCCGGAAGTAGGATCACTACAGCAAAATCTAGTAGAGCCTCCAGGTGAAATGTCTGGAGCTCCATATGGAGCAGGGGAAATTAACAACAAGATGGAAATCACTGCAGCAGCGGGGAGTCGGAATTTTTGAAAAAAAAAAAATGAAATTTAAAGATGAAGAAAGAGAAGTAATAAATTAATGGGGTGTGAAAACATTCAAAGCTTTACATACCAGGGGCACTATTTGCTCAGATCCTCCCCACCCCCCCTTTTTAACTCGGGGTCATTTTGATGTAATTTATTAACCAAGATCAAGAATTGTAGCCAAAACAAGAACAATATTTTTATATATGCAAAAGTGCTTTAAACACATTTGTATCTGTGTTAGCTTCACTTTCCTGAGGCATCCTGCCTACCAAGTCCCCTGGTGCCCTAGTGGAGCTGGCCCCTGAGAAATAACCCTAATGGACTTAACGCTGTCCAAATGCAGGGCCTTGCCGGAAAGTTTGAATGAAGGATGACAATGTTTGGTGGGCAATCATTCCCATTTCTCCCAAATTACGATGTCATTAAACAAACCATTGCCTACTGCCACGTTTTTTAAGCCAACTGACTTTGGGTCTACAGGACCAACTGATGAGAAGTGCTCCAGCCCTTGTTGTCTAGATCCACAGATCTTTCCAGATCACCAAAGCTGAATTCCTCAATGGTGTTACCTTTGTAAGAGGCTGCAGAAAGCAAATCCTCGCTATCTCATTACGGAGCATTCTCCACAGGCACCCAGAATTTCAGGGCACTGGGTTTGGGGAGGGCTTTGAGGCCATCTGCACGCCCCTGTCACTCTACTAAACACATAACAAGAAAAGCAAAAGGGCTCTAGGGATCAGCCTTGTCATCTGTATCAGCACAGCTCACGATGCTCATTCTCCCTGTACCCTCTGGCAGGGAAGCCGGATGAGAGGAGGGCTTGGTGAACTGTCTGGGACTAGGGGTGGGAGGAGGAGGTAAGAATTAACAGTCACCAAGCTGCGGTGACATGAAACAGCCAGTCACTGAATTTAAATGCCTCCAAGTCCTAGACCTTACTACCCCCACTCCTTCTTAAAATGAGGTGTGTGGCCTGTTCACTGGATGGCTAGAAATAGTAATAGTGGGATGTAGGGCCTGGGACCACAGAAAGTGCTCAGGACAGCTGGGCAGGGAAGGTGCTGGGTGACTTCACGTCACCATTCCACTGTTTTTGTATGAGACAGTTTCGTGTATCCCAGGCTGGCCTCAAACGTTCTACATAGCCATTGATGCTCTTGAACGTCTCAGCCTCCTGTCCCCCCCTGCCAGACGCTAGGGCAGCTTAAGCCAGCATTCCACACCTGGATCACATCTCCAACCTACTACTGTTTTCCTGATAACTGCAGCAGTAACGAAAGCTGCTGTAATGGAGGCCTCTAGCTTCTCGTAGAATCCAGACCGCATCCCTACAAGCCTGTGCTACTCCAGGTCTAAGGAAACCGTACAAGAGTTTCCAAACACCAAAGAGACCCAACTACACAAAACAATGACAGTCACACAGAAAGATGATCTCCAAGAAATCCAGCCTTTTCACTGACACTGTCCGTGGGCACGGACTCCACCATGCCCAAGCCCTCCTCCCTCTCCTGCACCCCCACCTGACAGACACTGTCACCAGGTGAGAGGACTGCTGAAGATATCGTCAGCAGCACTGGCGCTGGGTTGGAAGAAGGAAGTCTGGAAGCTTGCTGCTCTTTCCAGCTTTGCCCTCTGCTCCAGAGGGGTTGGGGGCTGCTAAGAAGCAAATGGTGGCACCAGGGCCTCTTTGTGCTTTTGAAAGTGGCTCTATATCCATCATTTCATTTGAGGAGCATACCTCTTAAATCAGAAAGAGAGGCAAATACCAGAGATGAGGAAGACATGGTCTCAAACTTAGAAAGATAGAGCCGATTCTTTTGATGCAAGTTCTGACTCACCTCTGGGTTCTCAACTGGCCTCTAATGGAGTACCAGTCTGGTACCTTGATTTGACTTTAGGCTCAGAAAAGAAATTATCTGGAACTAACCCCAGCCCAGATATGGAGGAATTCAAAAGGACACAACCCGAGTGTTCAAGGGCCCTACCTAGGATACTGTAGTCTTCAGTGTGGTGGACAGAGGACTGCTGGGTAAAGTGTTAAGCTTCTAGTCACTCCAGACAGTCAAAGGCAGGACCATCTGCTTTTCAGATACCATGGTGTGGTTTGAATTGATGATAATCATAATCATTTTCAACTCCAGAGTCTGACTCACTTCTACCCACTCCACTTGGGAGTTAATGTTACCAAATCAGTCACAGTTCAGCAGTCAGTAATGGTGACTGCTTATGTTACCCAGGAAGGCTGTCTCACAGCATACAGGAGTTGAGGTGTGGCAGTGTGGGACAGAGTGAAGGTGTGCTCTCATGATCCAGTCTCTGTAGCACCTCAGAAACATACGTTTTCCTTTACCTGTTCCACTTGAGGAAAGAAGAAAGGAGCAGGAGAGAAACTGATTGATTGACTGATTGGCTTTTAGATGATTGACTGATTGGCTTTCAGATGCATGTGTGTGTCTGTGTGAGTATATGTGCATCACGTGCAAGAAGGTGCCTGCAGTGGCCAGGAGACAGCAGGACCTCCTGCAGCTGGAGTTACAGGCAGTTCTGAGCTGCCCAGCATAGGTGCCAGGACCCAAACCCTGGTCCTCTAGAAAAGTAGCGAGTGCTCTTGAATGCTGAGCATCTCCCCAGCCCCCGGAAGGCATTTGTAAAGGATCTTCCCCAACCTTTCATCAAGCACACAAAGCCTGCAAGATAAATGTGAATCATGCTGTAAATCATTACTGCTTTTCAAAGTAGTGGATCACCTGAATTTCTGATGAAAGATCTGGGGAAGGACCTGGTGGCATCAAGGCTGCTTTTATTCTAAACAAAGGCATCATTTTGGTGACAGCATTCCACCACATTTCAAGGAATAACCCCCTTCCTATACGTTCCTTGGCACAAAGGTTATTGCTGATCAGGGAGATCAGCCTAGTAGAATTTTCCAACTTTCACTCAGCTGATCAAGTACAGTGTCACTCAGTGAAGCAACTCTGCCTGTTCCTTATCTGATTGTGACTTTCAAGGGATCAAGGTCACACACAGGTATGGAGGTCAGAGGTTACTTGTGGGAGTCAGTTTTCTCTACCACTCACCTGGGGGTCCCAGGGATCAGACTCAGGTCATCGGGTTTGCATGGCAAGCCATCTTGCTAGCCCTCAGTCTTTACCAGAGGGCTTGTAAGCGTTCTATCAGGACTAGTTTAAGAGTTAGGTCATGAAGGGTCTCACGTTCATTTTCACAGTTTTACAGGATTACATGCATTAGTCACACACTGAATAGTTTAAAAATTACCAACAGACTTAAGAGCTTAACAAGATAAATGTTCAAATGACTATAAATCTTGACAATTGATGTTAATCTGATGGACTACCTATAGGGCTGGGCAGCATGGCTGTCCATGTCAAAATCTCACTCCATGCTAGCGTGTGCCAAGGGGCTGCATTCTGGATTTTCTCTTTAAAGGAAAAAGATTATGCTCAAGCAAAGAGACTTTCCAATTTGAAAAGTGAGACTAATACTTCTGGACCTAACATCCTGGATGATTTCTCTTCTCCTTATCTGACGACTTCTAACTGTGAAGGAAAAGGGCTTCAAAAGAGACATTTCAGTGAGTGAAGGCTCTTTAAGTCCACATGGGTACTGGGAGAATATGCTGAGAAGCGCTTCTAAAGATGGTTAGGGAGAAGGCGCCCCCTCCTATTATTCAATAACCATGTTTGTGATGCATCTGCATAATCTAACCATGCATAAATTAGTATGTGTAATACAACACTTATTTGCATAATAATAGCAAGTTAATAGATGCTTAAAGAGCAGAGACCAACACCACCTTTAAATCAGACATGCCTCCAGGCACTTTGGCCTGTTCAGACCAAGATGCCAGAAAAACAGTACACATCAACCAGAAGAGACCCGTCAGCCGCTCATTCTTCATCCCTCTGGACGTTTCGCTTCCTGCCCCCCAACAGCAGGGAGTCATTTTCCAGCCACAAAATAGCTTTGTGTCTTAACTGCTTAGCATCCCTCTCTAGTAAAATCCGTGAAGAAATATAAAAATTTAGGATTTTCAATAACTGATAACGAACTATTTGTGAATAGGAAGGAGCAGAATCGAAAGGGTGTAACGTGGTCACAGTCACACGCACAAGAAACTGGGGGCTGTGCGCCTGCTAAAAACAATGACCCACAGTAGATATTTTCACCTTTTGTTCTCATCTTTTAACTCATATAATTTTAGTTGAATCCAAAATGCTCATAAAAGGTATGAAGAAAGGGTGGGCCCTTCCTCCAGCCTCGACATGAGCACACGGAGCTGGGCGGAGGGGACACCTCAAATGTCATACGAACAGGAGCATGGTGGTCTTAGTCAACCTCTAACAAGGGAAAAAAGTCTAGAGTTTTGTTTTTGATTTTTTTTAAAATAAAAAACCAACAGAGACTTCTAATGATTCCTTTAAGATACTACTTTTCATTTTTACAGGACAGATTTATTTGTATGTGGCTCAAATGTTCACAATCGCTTCCTGTACCTTCATACATAGGAATAGATGTCACAGTGGCAAATGGCAGTAATGAACAATCTTACCTGAGGATATGGAAACCTCCCAAGAGCAAGCTGGGAAAGGAAATAATATTTGTCTAGTTATAGATTTGCATGCAGGGCAGATCTCCTTAAGACAGACAAGGACTACATTTCAGAAATGCACCTATCAAATTAAAAAATAAAAACATCTACACCACTAATGCATGAACTAAATCATTGCTGTAATTACATTATAAGCTGTATTTAGAATGGACCTCTTTAATGAACAATATTTTATCTCTGATAAAAAAAATCCTAATTTTAATAACTGAACATTCTCCTACATACTTTCTCTTAGGTGCATTTTCAACTCTGGGGCATTATTCACATGTATGTGTGCGGCAGTGTCCTCGAGACAGGGATGTATAAGTCTGCGGGCCTTCCTCCTGTAAGATGGGATCTAGTTGGTTCCAGAGCACAGCTCTGCGGGTTTAGGCTACAAGTCTGGAGGAAGGGTTGTAAGAAGTGTGTGGGCTGTCGTATGAAATTGAAACCTGGGCTGTTTTTCTCACCCACTTACTGTTTCACACTTTCCTACCAGTTAGAGGCCCTACTGCTATGGAACTGGCCATGGAAGGCTGTGAAGGAGGAGGCCTCAGTCTGAACCTGGGAGAATGATTCCCCCGCCCCAAGCCTATTTAGATTTGTATACTGCTCTTTTGTTTCTGGGCTAGCCACTTTCGTTAACCCACAGGTAAAAATTAAGTGACTCAGACATGTATAGGCTTGACATAATGTAATAAGATCAGATTGAACAAACGTACCACAATCTGTTTACATCTATCTGTCTGTCTGTCTGTCTGTCTGTCTGTCTGTCTATCTATCTATCTATCTATCTATCTAGACCCGGTCTTTGTATATAGTCCTGTTCTGTATACCAGGCTGACCTCAAACTCACAGATCCACCTGCCTCTACCTCCCAAGCGCTGGGATTCAAGGTGTGCACCACCACCCAGCTTACCATAACCTATTTAAAGGAAACAATGGTGGGAACATAGAGCTTCCCAGTGTAGCCCACTCTCCGTTCTCCACACACATCTGTAACTTTCCACAAAGCAGAAGTGTAACATCAAGGAAGCAAGAAGGCATCTGAGCACACGACATACAGAGCAGATATGAACTCTAGAGTCCCTCGAGGGCTTCTCACACGGTTGGTCAAGAGAAATCGAGGGGCTGTCCCCCAAGTCCGCTTTTAATCCAGTGCTTCTCCCAGCACACTGCACTGTCTTCTGAGACCTGGACAGCTGCACACTTGTTTCAAAGACACCGATGCTGCTCAAACACTTCTGAAACTCCTCTTTTACAATGGTGTTTAAAATCATTTCACGAAACAAAAGCACACTTTCCTCACTTTATGAGAACTAATTGAGGCTTGGATTTAGAAAGATGGCCCCTAGCTTGGTGATCATGTGACTTCTGTGTAGACTGGTGCCTGAATGACCCATGTAGATTCAAACCCTGAATACCTACAAAGATCACTTACTAAGGACAGATTGGGGTGTTGAGGTTTTCTAAAGTCTAAAGGCAGTTGAACAGCAATGTATCAGGGAGAAGCCATGTGACTGGATGGTGGATTCCTTTGAAAAGGCCAGCATTCATCTGGATATTTGTGTGTGCACATGTGTGTGCTGTATGTTGGAATATCTAATTAAGCACCACCTTCTACTCATATATCTGATATATATATCAGAAGGTATATAAATTTTCAAGATATAAATTTATAGTATCGTTATTTCCTTTGATGGATTTTCTTAATCTTCATATACGAATGAGAAAACATACAAAACAAAGGCACAGGAAAGAGGATGGATGTTCACTTTTATCGGTCCAGGGTTTTGTGTGATTCGGGCTGCTGTCTAAATGCTGTTAACCTGTCCCACTCTTCTCTCGCCTAACACAGCTGGAGGTTTGTCTTAGTTCTGAAAAAAATACAGCGTGTGACTGTCAATGAGTGTGCACACTGACTCTGGAGACACTGTGATCTGCTGCGGTGGGTGTACCACTCTGTAATGACCCAACAGGCAGTGAGGAGTGACCAAAAGCTGTCACCTTTATCACACTGATCTGTGGAGTGCACCTTTCATCCGGGGTAAAGAAACAACAGAAGGAGGACCTCTCATCTAAAATGGCCAAGAGCCTGAAAACTGGTATAATACATCTTCCAGAGATATGTCACTATCCAAGAGGGTGCATGTTGACACATCACTGGGGACGATGGAAGATTTCTGCCCACATGGTTGATTGGCAGAATCAACTTGTCTACCACACATACTATCAAGAGCTAGAGCTAAAAGACCACGGTGCCAACGTTCTTGGTTCTTGAAGTTTAAAGAATCAAGAGATGAGACAGGTGTGGTAGTGTTTGTCTGTTATTTCAGCACTGTAGACAGCTATGGCAGTAGGATCCTGATCTCAACATCAGCCTGGGCCACATAGTGAGGTCTGCCCCCGAAACAAGCACAGACAAATCAAATAGGAAGGCTTAAGAAACAAGAGCAGGATAATGTGAGAACTGAATCTCTCTCATCTTACACAAGGCCTCTGACTTGCCGGTCACCATTGGCCTACAGCTGGGATCTAGCAGACAGAAGCGTGTGCATGCATGCACCTGATCCCTCTGTCATATCCAGAACAGGGAAGCAAAGATGGCTGGTGTCATTCATTGAAGACACTGCCATGCAGCAGATCAGAGAGGACTTGGTGTAGCGGGTTGGTGGCCCCTCTGCTCTGTCTGCTTAGGAACAGACAGCAGTGGCTGACTTGGGCAAGCAGCATTTTTGGGTTTAACTTTGTTTTGTGTTTCCCTGACTTCTATCCATTGGGACCTCAGTCCTACCTGACATCTTACAGGTGTGAATTTTTTAGTTTTACATAACACAGAAAGGTCCCTTGCCTTCAGTACAGGATGGCCACTTCCTCTTTTATGGAGTGTCATCCCTGGGCTGCTATGGCAGCAGGCTTAAGTCCCAGCTGTACACTAGTGAGCTCAGGCGGAGTGTGACTGGGCTTCATTGAAGGCAGTTGTTTGAAGACCCCTTCAGAGGACTCTGCCTTCCACGCATGTCCTCATTCTTCAGTCTAATGTAGCTCTAGAGCTGTTCACTCTCTATGACAAAGGCAGAAGGAGACACACACGGTAGGCCCAGAACCCCTTTGCCGAGCTATCAGGTGAAAGCAGAACGCACACTCTGAGCAGACATGGCTGCACCAAGAACTTCTCCACGAAAGTCAGAATGCATACTGAACCCTACGGGGAGGGAGCACATACGTTGTAAACATTCAGATGGCTGGGCCTGGCTGGCCGGTGTCTCTTAGCCTACTGGCCTATTAATCAACTTGCATTTCCCCAGTTTTTATTGTCAAGGTATTATAAATTAGGAAACTTACAAAAGAGAGTATGTAATCTTCTCTGAAATGGCCTGCAGATATGTCACTGTACTAAATGTGTTTCAGATTTAATGAAGCTTTAATGTCCTTTTTAATTTTGCCTGTTTCTGTATCACCAGGGGTCGGGCAAGGCAATCAGCACTCAAGAGGGTGGTTTGGTTTAAAACTAGGAAAAAACTCATTTGCTTATGAGTTGCACTGTATTTTCTTAATTAAATTTACTGAGTAAAATGGTTTAAGTTCAGCCAACCAATGACCTCTGTGTGTAGATTTAGATTTATAAATAGGTTAACAGTTAAAGTAAAGGGGGAGGAAAAGAAAGATTGCAACAAAGCAAACAGATTAGGGCTTAGCCAATAGGGATCGCCACTCGCTGTCATCTTTACAAGGGAAGCATTTAAATATAGGCAGCTTAAGTCCAGTGTTTGCTTTTTTTTTTTTAAAGTGTACTGAGAAATGAAGACATGCAAGCAATCCATCAGCAGACCTTCTTGTCCTTTTATTCCCAAGAGGAGAACAGCCGACTCTGCACAGGACCTGACAAAGGTTTACTGTGTGGTGCTGCGGAGGAGGCGAGCAGAGACAGGGAAAGGATTCTTTTTAATGTTAAATAAACAAGTGCATTTTAATTCCAAACATTTGAGAGCCAACAAACTGCTCAACAGGGGTTACAGGATGCTTCTTGCCTAAAGGGCAGGAAAAGGAGGCTGTGGCCGGGGTCACAAGTTGGGAATGCACTGAAGTAACAGGAACCACTAACATTTAACCATGACCCTTGAAACGGTCCTCAGAGTGATCTACTGATCTCTGCTTTGACCAACCATAACCTACCAATTGTTCTTGAGGCAGCAGCACTGAAGTACCCTGGATTTTAAAGCGTAAACAATAAATATATTTGGGCCTCTGTGTGTGTGTGTGTGTGTTTTAGAGAGAGAGAGAGAGAGAGAGAGAGAGAGAGAGAGAGAGAGAGAGAGAGAGAGAGAGAGAGAGAAAGAGAGGAGGGAGGAGAACCCTTTTGTATTTTAACAGAAAGTTGTGGTAAAAACATTTACGAAGTAACAACACGACAGGAAACCAACAACCACCAGGTAACTAGGAAGAGGGGAAATGTGCTGCAGCCAGGAGTGGTGGGCAGACCCTGCACAGGTTGCCTCCTCAGGCCATCCGCAATGCAATAGGACAAGGTTTACGTTTACATGTGCACTAAAAAGCACTCGGTTTTGTTTTTTTTAAAATTCTCAATTTAGACACATCCTATGTTTCTCAGCATAACTGCAAATTGAAAATAAGTGTTTCCAATATAGCTGAAGGGAGACTTTATAGTCCGAAATGTTTTAAAATTTGTTCTTAATTACCTTGTGTGCATTTTCCACAATTAAAGTTCCATCTACGGATTTTGCATTTAGATTGTATAATGCAGTTAAGCCTCCATTTCATAGAAACACAACAACTTGGTGCATTCAGACACAGGGAAACTTAAAAAAAAAAACCGAAAAACCAAAATGGACTTAACTTCTCAATGACATAAAATTCCCCAGGTGAGGCTTCATCCCCAGACCAATTTGCTCAGGCCTGAAGAAAGAGCTTAAATCACCTCAAACTATGTTGGGGAAGGCCCACGATAAATATTAAACACTTTAAAATCT